GCAAGTGCCGTTTCCGGTAGAACATCCCCTGTATCTGTCCAGCTTTGCAGCTCCACATGTTTCCCATTGTTATAGATGCTCGCCTTCCAGTTGACCCAGTCGATCTCGGGGTTGAAGCGCTTCAGAAAATCACACCTCAAGATGAAATACAATCCCTTCGTGATCGGCAACGTCGGCTTCCACCTCAATGCCCCTATCTGCAGCTGCAGTGTTGACTCACCGTAGATGGGAAGCTTCGTATTGTCCACCATCGTTACTGTATACCGGGTCTCCACCGAGGACTCTCCAATTTTCTCCAACATCTCGCGATCGCACACCGAGTTGGACGCACCACTGTCCACGAGTGCCTTGAGGCGTTGCCTTTCGCAGAGCACCTCGAGGAGTAGTGGTTGTTGCCGCTCTGAGTAGCCATAGATGGTGTTGCTTATAGGATCATATGGTAAATCAAATGTATCATCCCTTGGCCCTGCGCTCGAATCTGTAGTTTCAATCTCAGTTTTCCGTCGACCAGCTCAGTCAGCCGCAACCGTCGAGCTCCCCTGGTCGACGGCTCGAGCTCCGCGACTGAGCTGTGTAGGTCAACGACCACCTTGTCGACCTGCCCCGCAGAGGTAGGCCGTCGGCTCCCCATCGACAACAACACTGCAGTGGTCCCCTGCAGCTCGACGAAGCCCGTCGAGCAGCTCCTTCACTGCGAACGGTCGGCTGCTTCTCCCGTACATCCGACCAGGACGTCAGCGTCACCCAAGGGAGGGCGGGTCCGATACTCCATTTTTGTTAACAGTGTCCCACCTGCCATCTTATGAAGTCGTCATGACAACGACCGGCAGGACAGTTGCAGCCGATACCACCCCCAGAGCGTGCTTGGCAGCAGGTGACGATGGACTTCGTCACGGGGTTACTGGCCCGAGTAAGAGGGAACGACGCGATCCTGGTCACCTTCGATCGCTGACAAGATGGCACATTTCACAGCCTGCAAGAAATCAATCACAGCCAAAGAAACAGCCCGACTCTTCCTCTCCACCGTCGTTTGACTTCACGGGATACCAGCAGCAATCATCAGTGACCGCGACACGAAATTCAGTAGCAAATTCTGGAGGAACCTGTGGCAGCAGTTCGGGACGCGACTACAGTCCAGCTCATCATACCACCACGAAACCGACGGACAGACAGAACCGACAAACCAAGCCATGGAGCAGTTAATTCGAGCCACGTGCGACGACCCGAGAATATGAGAACAAAAGCTGCCACTCATCGAATTCGCGTACAACAACTCCACGTCAGCCACGACACAGCAATCGCCCTTCTACCTCAACTATGGATAGAACTCAACAGTGCCCATGACCCCAAATCCCAACAACCCGGTACCACGCGCGCAACAGTTCCCATAAATTTTACAGGCAGCCCAGACCCGAGCAGCAGACGCAATTAAAAAATCCAACATCATCACTAAGCGGAACGCCGATCGCCACCGCCGCCCCATCACTTACCAGCCCGACGACCTCTTATTTTCGTATCACCCCGGATATAAGTGCAGGCCTATTATAAGCGCATACGCTTATATCCAGAACATTGCGCTTATGCCCGATCCTCAATTATCACACCCGAGAAAATCTTGAGCCACTGAGTTCGTAACCCACGTTGAGCTCGCAGTATCGAGTTCCTGATTCGCTCGAAGGACCGCACGCCCACCGATGACAACTGGGTGCCCCTAGATAGAATTGAAAATCACCCCGTCCTTACCGAGTATCTCCGCAGCCGCAATTTTCGGGATGTACACGCAGTCTCGCAAGGAGGGCCTCCTTGCGGAGGGGGGAAGTGTAAGGAAATTTCATTTTCCTTACTTCGCGCCCCTGCTTACCGCGTACATGACTGTTCCCGCCAACAGCACCCAACAGTAAAACGTTACCCGCTCGCGACACTCGCCTCGACCGCTATTCCCGCCACTATACACCTATCGACCCAACCTCATGGTTCGGTTGGAAACCCGCGCTTCGGTCCTCCGCCTCGACAATTACCAACCTCGACGCTAGGCCCGTAGCGCACCCCAATTTCTCACGTTACCGCTACCACGCTAGCTTTGCTATATATTCTTTGCTCATGCCTTGTACTCTTGCTTCGATAGTGCAATTCTCGCTCGCTCGCTAAATTGCACCCGTAACACATGCCTAAATACAACAAACTCGTGTTTGCAAGTTTGTTTCACGAAACTACATGCACGTCCCATCCCAAATTCGTGGTTCCCTTCAAGAAACTTGAATTTGTGAACTACCATCCCAACTTTGCCAAACACTCCTCTCGAGTCCGAAATTGGTTCCTTGTTTCAACCAGACTCTCATTCATACTTCGATTCGAACACAATTTGTCACTCACGACTGTAATCAGGACTATCTTCCACCGCGATTCGCGACTGCTTCCTATGCCTCACTTTCAATGTCGTCCCACATACTATTCCTAGTACGTCGATCTCTTCACTTCTTAGCATTAGAACACGCCACACGCTTCCATACCCACGTCGGCCCGATTTCGCCGTCCCTTAGGGTGGTTCGACGAAACGCTCCAACACTCTCCTCCTCTTGCCAGGTGTATTCAGGGCATCGGCGTCGTGGCGAGAAGGGCACGTTTATCGTGAAGGGTTTAGCGAGGGAGGGTTATGGCAGGACGAACTCGGATCCAAGCGGGGAAGGGAGGAACAGGGGAGAGGGTTTTAGAGGCGAAGACGAGCGCAGGGGGCGCGAGGGTTATAGGAGCGGTAGGAGTGGCGCATGGGGACCTGGGGAATGGGGAAATAGGCGAGAGAGTTTTCGGGGTGATGAAGGGCAGAGAGGGAGGGAGGGTTTAAGGAGGGGCGCGGACGGGTACAGGGGTACTGAATCGCGCCGGGAAAGAAAGGGGTTCAAAGGAGAAGAGAGGAGAGGGGAATTGGGCTTTGAGGGAGAGGAGGAGAGGAGAGGGAGTGAGGGGTTTAGGGGGGAGGAGGATACGATGAGGAGAGAGGAGGGCAGGAGAGGGGGTGTAAGTGCCGACAGCTATGGCGATTGTCCTGGGAGAGAGGGGTTTAGAAGCGAGGCAGAGAGACGTGGGAGGGCGAGTTCTAGGGGAGATGCCGACAGGAGGAGGGCCGCAAGTGTTGGGGATTATGCGGAATGGTTTAGGGTTTCCAAAAGAGGGTTTTAACAGGGAGGGGTTAAGGGGAGAGACATTCGCAAGTAGCGAAGGCCGGGGAGGGCGGGAGGGGTTCAGGAGAGACGGCGAAGACCGCCTAAGGGAAAAGGGCAAGGGGTTTCGGGGACAGAGAGAGAGTTTTAAGGGGCAGGAGGGGAGGTTTCGGGGAGATGAGGAGGGGTTTAGGAGTCAGGAAGGGTATGAGAAGAGAGAGGGTAGGGGAAGTTATGGAAGGGCGAGCAGGCAGGAAAGACAAAGCAACTTGAGCAGGTTCAGTGGTTATGGGAGGCAAGAGAGGCAAGGGAGGGGAGTGTAGAAGGTGCAGAGAGGGAAGGGACGGGGGACGGTGAGAGGCGATGGGGAGCGGTTTCGAGGAATGTTGAGGGAGCAGAGGGAGGTAATTAGAAGGGGGTGGAGGAGGGGGGCAGAGAGGGAGGGAGATGGAGCAGGCAGAGTCTTGGGGCATCCGAGGGCGAGGTGTCTGAAACTCAAGGGGTTTCTGCTGCTGGGGACGCAGGAGGAGGACGAGGGGAGACGGACGGGCGAGATTTGAAAGAGAGAGAGTGGAGGCAGAGTGAAGGCGGGGCCAAGGAGTGGAAGCTGCGGGAGAGGGGAGCAGTGGAGGGGGGAGCAAGGGAGAGGCAGAAGGGAAGTGGTGGCATTGCAGCAAGCGGAGGAGAAGCAGGTGGGGAGAGCAGGGGAAGGGGAGTGGCGGAGGAAGGGGTACAGCAAGGGGGGGCAGAAGGAGGGGATGGCGGAGTGAGGGGAGTGGCGGGGGAGGCGATGCAGTAGGGGGGAGTGGACGTCACTGGCTGGGATGATGTGTTCTTTGCTGACGTGGGTGTGACGTGGCAGGGTCTGGGGTTGCAGGGGGGGGTGGAGGAGGCGATGAGCAGGGCAGGCTTTGAGCGGTCGCCGGCCATTCAAATGAGGTGCGAGGAGAGGTGGCATGTGGGCTTGAGTTGGTGTGGAGGCGGCGAGAGTCGGTGCCTGAAATCAGGCTGTGGCATGTCTTCCGCTCCTTGCTCATCCCCTACATAGTCAAAATTCCATGTTTTGTGCAGGCTGGCGCCATTCCTCGGACCAAAATCTTCCCACGTGTTTCTGCTTGTTGATTCTTATCTCCCTTATAATCACACTCGATGTTGTGTGCAGGCCTGGGTTGTTACCCAGATACGGTCGACCGCCCCCACACCCCAACCCCCTGCTTGTATTTCTGCTCGTTCTTTCTTATCTCCGTTATACTCACACTCGATATTGTGTGCAGGCGGGCGCCATTCCGCAGATCTTATCCGGATCAGACGTGGTGGTGGCTGCTGAAACGGGCAGCTGGAAAACGCACGCTTACCTGGCACCCGTGCTGAGTCATGTGCTGACGTGGCGCGAGGAGGAGAGGCAAAGGGAGATAGCAGAGAGGGAAGAGCAGGAGAGGAGTGAGAGGAGGTTGGGAGAGGAGGGAGAGGTGGGAGAGGGGAGGAGGAGGAGGGTGGGAGCGCACAAGTTTGCTCTGGTGCTGTGCCCCAACGCTGCCCTGTGCTGCCAGGTGGGACTGATATCGGGAGAGGGAGGATGGGGGAAAGGTGTAGTGAGGGATGGTGGGGGGGGGGAGGGGGACGGGGGAGGTGAGGGTGTGGAGAAATGGGACGTACCACAAATTTGATCCAGTGCTGTGCCCCAACACTGCTGTGTCGCCAGGTTGGTGGTTGGGGAGTGAGTGCAAGTTCTTTCCGCACTTCCATGCCAATTATGCCTAACTCTTGTTGCCATGCATCACGTTCCCTATTCCTCCACCCCCCCCCCCCCCCCCCTGGCTCTCTGAGTCCACGCCACAGGCGATGGCCATGACATTGCCCCTCCGCCACATTCTCCTCGCTTCCTCCATGCCCTCCGCCCTCCACCCTCCGCCCGTCCACACCACAGGTGATGGTAATCGTGTGCCGACAAAGGTGCTCCCGGGAACGACTCCGTTCGAAGCATGGACCGGAACGAAGCCGAATCTATCCCTCCGACGCACCTTTGGGTGTCTTTGCTATTACCATACCCCGGATCCCCTTCGCCACAAGTTGCAACCGAAGGCTCGTGCGGCGATATTCTTGGGAATTGCGGCGAACGAGCGTGCGTGGCGAGTGTGGGACTTGGGTGAAAGGCGCATCGTCACATCTCGAGACGTTGTCTTCGACGAAGACAAGTTTCCGACGAAGGAGAAACCAACTCAACAAGTTACCTTCATCCTTCCGGCACGAGAGGAGGTTGAAGAAAGTGAGGTTCCACCTCAAGTGGAAAAGGAAGCCGAGAATGGAGGGGGGGAGAACGAGGAGAGCGATGACGACGTGGTGGAGGTGTCACCAACCGCGGCAACAACTTCCTCTACACCTTCCTCCCTACCATTGGCCTTGACTCGCGAGCGTCGCGAGGTTCGTCCTCACCCCAAGTACAAAGACTATGCTACGGTAACCGTTGGGGAGATGGATAAGGAGGGCGCGGCATTTTGCTTCGCGACAAAGGGTGATGATGGACATGCGGAATCTCTCATGGAACCATCCCCTAAAGATCCATCCCGTACGTGCTACGAGGATGATGGATTGCACACCTAGTGGCTTGGGTGCAAGGGGGAGTGTTGGAGGTTGAGTGTGGTTGAAGCAAGTGGTGGTGGGGTGGTTGTATGCCCCCAACCCACCGAATGTGTTTCGGTGCTCACCGTTTGAGTGAGCTGCAGGTTTCGAAGTGAGTGGGTTGACTTCGGAAGACCCATCGATTCGGTGCCACATGGCAGCATCAGGAACATTCGTGATTGAAGTGACATTCGGTTTGGTGAAATTCGAGTGTCGAATTTCACCCCTTCGAAATGTTACTCGAACATTCGCGAGTGTTGCGGTTCGAGGTTACTTGTGCGATTCGATCTTGTTTGCATGCTATAAATCTGTTTTCTTTGTATTGCATGCTATCATAGTGAAAACCAGAGTTCATTGTACAAGGTACATTCGAACCAAAAATCCAGAGAACTCCTAATCCCCATTCCTAGAGCATAGTCATCACATTTCCAGCCATAGCTCACTCGTTACTTAGGCGAACGAAGTGATTGACGGCTCGTTGGAAAGCTAAGACAGAGCTCTAGTGGTTTATAAAACTCCAAGTTCCTGCCAACTAGAGGACACGCCTCTACAACAGCGATGGCGATAGTCCTGGGTGTGCTGGGGTTGACGGCGGCAATGATGACGCGGACAGCAGCAGAAGCAGCAGCAGCAGCGACGGCAGCAGCAGTAGCAGTCGTGGCATCGCGAACAGCGGCAGCGGAGGCAGATCCTCAACTGGCCGCTATCGCCACATTCAACGCACTGAAACTCGCATCGAAGCTTGTTCGCCGCTCGCTCTCCCCCCTGCTGCCCTGAGATTGGAGGTAGTGGCGAGTCAGTAGCGAGTGTAGCCACACTGCATCTCGAAATACATAGTACTCACTCCCACTGTCCAAACCACCCCCCCAAAAAAACAAATTTCCGAATGGCATTCGACCGACCGTTCCCTTCCACGCCACAGCTCTCAAACCTCGTTTCCGTGCTGTGGAGCGGATGGGAAAATCTCCTCTTGCTTCCTCCTCGCCTCTTACACCCGTTCCCGCACGCACCCATTTCCGCGCATACCCGTTCCCGCACACACCCATTCCCGCACTCACCCATTCCCACACACACCCATTCCCACACACGTCCATTCTCGCACACATCCGTTCTCGCACACACCCGTTCTCGCACACACCCGTTCTCGCACACACCCGTTCCCGGACACACCCGTTCCCGCACACACCCATGCCCACACACAGCCATGTCCGAGGATTGCCGGATGTTGTGTGGCTTGCCACGTTGTGTGTCCCTATCACCACTCGGTGTGCCCTTATCGCCTTTCTGTGTGCACCCCTGGCCGTGCGGTGTGCCTATGGCCTTGCCTTGCTGTGTGCCCCCATGCCATGGCAGGTTCATCTACCCCGTGATGCTGCGCCACTTCCCCGTGCGCGTGCTCTTCCGCGACCCATCCACCATCACCTTCGGCAAGCCCTACGGTGCGACTGCCCTTTCCCCTCCTTCCCCCTTTTCCAACCCCTCAACCTGTATTCGCATTGTATATGTGATTGATATCTTGAGTATGAAACGAGTGGGAGTTTGCTCGTCATCTGCACATTCATGCGCTGTCCAAACATCTGTCATCTGCACATTCATGCGCTGTCCAAACATTTGTCACCTGCACATTCATGCGCTGTCCAAACATCTGTCATCTGCACATTCACGCGCTGTCCAAACATCTGTCATCTGCACATTCATGCGCTGTCCAAACATCTGTCACCTGCACACTCATGCGCTGTCCAAACATCTGTCATCTGCACATTCATGCGCTGTCCAAACATCTGTCATCTGCACATTCATGCGCTGTCCAAACATCTGTCACCTGCACACTCATGCGTTGTCCAAACATCTGTCATCTGCACATTCATGCGTTGTCCAAACATCTGTTGCACTTATCCATGATGTGTACTCATTCTGGCCCGTCCTCCCTCCCCTCCCCCCATGCAGTGGTGGGGGTTGGAGCCGCACTCAGTGCTGCCCATCGGGCTGGCGGCCCTCATGGAGCATCCCATGTTCGTCCGCGGCTACGCCAGCGCCACGTCAGCGCTCTTCCGTGTGCCGCTGCTGCGCCAGTTCTGGCAGTGGGTGCGCACGGCGCCCGCCACGCGGCCCGTGCTGACCAGCCTGCTCAAGCGCGGGTGCACGGTGGTCATCATCCCGGGCGGCATGCAGGAGTGCGTCTTCATGGCGCCCGGCAGGGAGGTGCGTCTTCATGCCGCCCGGCAGGGAGGTGCGTCTGTGCATGTGGGGAGGGAGGTGGCATGTGGGGCAATGTCACGTTGGGAAAGGAAGGTTATGTATGGGGTGAAAGAGGTTTCACCTGGCGAAAAAGGTGGCTTTTGGGGAAAAGAGTTGCTATTCCATCCTGGTCTGCTTGGTCTGCCTGCTCTGCCTGCTCTGCCTGCTCTGCCTACTCTGCCTGCTCTGCCTGCTCTGCTCACCTCGCCTTCCTCCAACAAGCCTCCCAGTTTCACTGCCTCCCTCATTCGCTCACTACCTCCCTCTCTCACTCCCTCCCTCCGTCACCCCCTCCCTCCCTCACTCGCTCATTCCCTCCTTCCCTACCTCCCGCCCTCTCTCCCTCCCGTCACCCCCAGGTGGCGTTCGTGCGGCAGCGTTTTGGCTTCATCCGCCTGGCGCTGGAGCAGGGTGTACCCGTCGTGCCCTGCTTCGTCTTCGGCCAGGTTCTCACCACGCACGGCGCAGGGCGCAGGGCGGAGAAGGGGGAGGGCGGAGGGAAGCCTGGTACGGTGGATTGAAGAGTCATGTTGGAAGAGGGGGTCATAGTCATGTTGGAAGAGGGGGTCATAGTCATGTTGGAAGAGGGGGTCATAGTCATGTTGGAAGAGGGGGTCATAGTCATGTTGGAAGCTTGAGCCGATTTTTATTAGACTCAAAAAGCATATTCTGAAAATGGCGATTCTTGAGTAGTCTCAAAACTCAAAGCAAAACACCAACATTATCAATCAGGCCAGACACGGTTTCCTCAGCCTACTTCTTTAATTTCCTTGAACCCATTTTTCTCACCTGCCCGCCAACTACAGCTTCCACCGCGAGCAAGGGGCGGTTGTGTGGCGAGCGGAGCAACAATGCCATCTCCATGACCTGTGGTGTGTGGACGGAGGAGGGCGGAGGGCATGGAGGCATGGGGACGCATGTGAGGCATGGCAGGGACTGGCAGGCATTGTGGGCATGGAGGACAGGAGAGACAACGCCATCCCCATCCCCTGTGAAGTGCAGTCAGAGAGCCGAGGGGATGAGGGAATGGGGAATGTGAAGCATGGCAAAGAGATTCAACAGTTATTGGCATGGAAGGGTGGAGAGAGAGAGAGAGAGAGAGAGAGAGAGAGAGAGAGAGAGAGAGAGAGAGAGAGAGAGAGAGAGAGAGAGAGAGAGAGAGAGAGAGCCGGAACGAACTTGCACCCACTTCCCCAACCACCCTCCCATCACCCCCACCCTTTCCCCCATCTTGATCAATGGCGGCACAGGGCAGCGTCGGGGAAGCATGGGGGCAGCATGGGGGCAACATGGGGGCAGCATGGGGGCAGAATGGGGGCAGCATGGGGGCAGCATGGGGGCAGCATGGGGGCAGCATGGGGGCAGCATGGGGGCAGCATCGGGGCACAGCACAGCAGCAGAGCAAACTAGATGCACTTCCCTCCCCGACCCCCCTCCCACTAGTCCTCGCCACCCCGCTTTCCCCGTTCATTCCCTCCTATCCTGATTGTCACCCACCTGGCGGCACAGGGCAGCATTGGGACACAGCACCAGAGCAAACTTGCGGGCTCCCACCCTCCTCCTCTTCACCTCTCCCACCTCTCCCTCCTTTCCCAGCCTCCCCTCACTCCCCTCCTCCTCACCCGCCCTCTCCTCTTCCCTCTCTGCCATCTCCCTCCGCCTCTCCTCCTCGCGCCACGTCAGCACGTGACTCAGCACGGGTGCCAGGTAAGCGTGCGTTTTCCCGCTGCCCGTTTCAGCAGCCACCACCACGTCTGATCCAGATAAGATCTGGGGAATGGCGCCAGCCTGCACACAATATCGAGAATCATTATAATAGAGATGAGAAAGAGCGAGCAGAGAAACGAGGGGGGTTTCGATAAGAGCTGGGGGAATGACGGCAGCCTGCAGCACACAATGCGGAGTTGGGGGAATGACGGCAGCCTGCAGCACACAATGCGGAGTTGGGGGAATGACGGCAGCCTGCAGCATACAATGCGGAGTTGGAATATAAAGGGGATGAGCAAGGAGCGGACGACATGTCACAGGAGGCACCAACTCTCGTCGCCTCCATACCACCTCGCACCTCACCTGAATTGCTGACGGCCGCTCAAAGCCCGCCCTGCACATCGCCTCCTCCACCTCCCCCTGCAGCCCCAGGCTCTGCCATGTCACGCCCACGTCAGCAAAGAACACGTCATCCCAGCCCGTGACGTCCACTCCCCCTTGCTGCACCGCCCCCCCTTGCTGCACCGCCCCCCCTTGTTGCACCGCCCCCCCCGCCACACCCCTCACTCCTCCCTCCCCTCCTCCTGCCCCCTCTTGCTGTACCCCCTCCTCTGGCACTCCCTTTCCCCTGCTCGTCCCACCTGTTACTCCCCCCCCTGCTGCAATGCCACCATTTTCCCTCCGCCTGTTCTCACCATTCCACTTCCCGCTCTGCCCCTCCATTGCTGCTCCCTCCATTGCTCCTCCCTCCATTGCTCCTCCCTCCATTGCTCCTCCCTCCATTGCTCCTCCCTCCATTGCTTCCCCCACCACTGCTCCCCCCATCACCGCGCCCCTCTCCCCCAGCTTCCATTCCTTGGCCCCGCCTTCACTCTGTCCCCACTCCCGCTCTCCCAAATCTCCTCCACCCGTCTCCCCTCGTCGTGCTGCGGCGTACCCAGCAGCAGGAATCCTTTGACTTCCACACGCCTCGCTCTCAGATGCCCCAAACCTCTCTCTGCTCCATCCCCTTCCCTCTCCTCCCCCCTCCTCCACCCCATTCCAATTCCCTCCCTCCGCATCCCCAACACGCCTCGCAACCGCTCCCCATCGCCTATCACCGTCCCCCTTCCCCTCCCTCTCTGCCCCGTCCCTCCTCCCCTCCCTCTCCGCTCCCTCCCACCTCCCGGCCCTCTCGTTTCTCCCATAACCACTAAACCTGCTCAGGTCGCTTTGCCTGTCGTGCCTGCTCGCCCTTCCATAACTTCCCCTGCCCTCTCTCTTCTCATACCCTTCCTGTCTCCTAGGCCCCTCCTCCTCTCCCCTCCTCCTCTCCTCCTCTCCCTTAAGGCCCTCTCTCTGTCTCCTAAACCCCTCGGCCTTTCCCCGTAAGCGGTCTCCTCCGTCTGTCCTGAACCCTTCCCGTCCACCCCGACCTTCACTGCTTGCGAATCTCTCTCGCCTTAAACCCTCCCTGTTAAAACCCTCTTCCCGAAACCCTTCTCTCCCGCGCCAATCCTCGTGATCCCCAACACTTGCGGCCCTCCTCCTATCGTTCTCTCCCTTAAACTCCTTCCTCCCTCGTCTCTCTTCCTCGCTTCTAATCCCCTCTCTCCCTCGGCGATCACCATAGCTGCCAGCACTTACACCCCCTCTCCTGCCCCCCTCTCTCCACATTCTATCCCCCTCCCCTCTAGACCCCTCTCTCCCTCTCCTCTCCTCCTCTCCCATAAAGCCCACTTCCCCTCTCCTCTCCTCTCCTTTAAACCCCTCTCTTCCCGAACGCACTTCATTACCCCTGTCCGCATCCTCGCCCCTCTTGAAACCCTCCCTCCCTCTCCGCCCTTCATCAACCCGAAAACTCTCTCGCCTATTTCCCCATTCCCCAGGTCCCCATGCGTCACTCCTACCGCTTCTAAAACCTTCGCGCCCCTTGCGCTCGTCTTCGCCCTTAAAACCCTCTCCCCTGTTCCTCCCACCACCGCGTGGCTCCGAGACCGTCCCGCTGTAACCATTCCTCGCCAAACCCTTCGCGACAAACGCGCCCTTGTCGCCACGACGCCGATGCCCTGAATACGCCTGGCGAGAGGAGGAAGATGCTGGAGCGGTTCGTCTAACCACCCCAAGGGACGGTGAAATCGGACCGACGACGGTATGGAAGCGTGTGGAGTGTTCTAATTTTAAGAAGTGAAGAGATCGACGGACTAGGAAGAGTATACGGGACGACATTGAAAGTGAGCGAGAATGGGCAGAGGAAGCAGTCACGAATCGTGATGGAAGAAAGTCGTGAATGTGTTTGACGAGGAACAAAATGTGTTCAATTCGAATGAACGAGAGTCCAGATGAGAGGACTGAACGAGGCACCGATTTCGGGCTTGGAAGGAGTGTTTAGGGCGCGTAACTTTTCATTTCTGTCAAATGTCCAGACGGAACCCCAAAAACGTACGGACGGAGCTCCGTCCGGACGTTGGGGGATGTGGTTCGGACGATTGGGCGTCCCCCCCACAATTGTGACACTTTTTTGCAGTTTCGAAATTTGAAAATTGCGCGAGACAGTAACGAGAATTACCAACCTCGCCAGAACATCGCCCTGTTCGCGACCACGCATCAGCGGCTCGGTAATGTGCTGGTTTCCAACTTCCTCATCCCCCTGCTCGCGCTACTCTAGGTACAACCCTCGAACAAAATGAATATCTGTATTTGGGTGTTCCCCCCTGCTTCGCGCACCAATGACGTTGCAGGAGTTCCGGACGGTCCGAAATGCTGTCCGGACGGTGTCAGCAGCGTAGAACGGACGATGATATGACAAAAAATGGTGTCTTGGAACGGACGATGGCGACGTCGCAAGGGGTCTTGCGAAGTTGCAGACGAGTACTGACGAATTTAGTAACCCTTTAAAAGTCCGGGCCGGGCCTTCGTCCGGACGATGAAAAGTGGAAAAGTTACGCGCCCTTAGGCGAGGTTGGGATGGTTACAGCCTGATTACCACATGGTAGTTTTAAAAATCAAGTTTCTTGAAGGGAACCACACATATGGAATGGGTTTTAAGGTTTCAAGGTTTGGGATGGGTAACCCACAAAAACAGTGCAGGGAATAAGGACACAACTAAGTCTAAGGGCATATGTTGCGATCAGATGATTGATCGTGCCTAGGATCACCTCACGAAGGTTCGCAGAGAGTAGGCCCACGATATCAGGGCAAAACATCCTGATTACCCTGATTTCAGGATAATGTCAGATGTTTTCCCTACAATTTCAGGATGATGGTATATTTTACCCTGTCACTTCAGGATATTTTTGTGTTGAGCCCTGAAATTTCAGGAAGGCCGTGAGATTTTGCCCTGAAGCATCAAGACGAAGGTAGAGGACTGCCTTGACGCTTATGCAGAAGGGGAAGGGGTGTGGGGGTGGAGGGGGGGATGGGGGAGAGGGGGGAAGGGGCGGGGGGGTGTGTGTACTGGTTTTGTCTCCTCCCGATGATTTCGCCACTTCCTCGTCGTACCGTACCATGCATGCACCAGGCTTCCCAGTCATATTGTGCCCTCCCCTCCACCTCTCTCATGTCTTGTGATTTTGTTGCCCTGAGAGATCAATATGAACTCATGTTGGTGCCCTGAAAGTTCAGGATAGCCATAAAAACTTGTCCTGAAAAATCATGGCATTCTTGTGAATTTTCAAAAGTTGCCCTGAGGGCTCAAGATGTCCGAAATCCTAGCACAGGCCTGGCAGAGAGTGTGTGTTGCAGCGGAAGATTGACCTCAAGTCAGAGTGAATTTAAAATGACTGAGATAATAAAAACATGCAAATACATCCGTATAAATGAGAGTATAGGGGAATACGAAACGACCTAGACTAGCCATGTACTCTAAGGGTTACATTCCCTTACTACATTCAAATTCAACCGTGCGAAGCGGGACGGAAACTGTTCCCGCCAAAATCCTCGCTCCTGCAGCTAGGGCCTATTTTGTCAGTGTAATTTACCCTTCTATACTGATTACAAGGGTGAAATTTAGGGGTAACGGCGGATTAGTATTTCCCTGATATCTCTGTGTAACTGTGTAGGCCACACTAATGCACTTGGGTAATTTTTCCCTTAACGAAGATTCCCCTAAAGTTTCCCTTAGACAAAGTTTCCTAGAACTTTCGTTCCGATACACCCAATTTCTTAATGATGTGCTACAACGCCAGCACGTGAGTACTGACAACCGATTCCGAGTCAGTGCGCGGGGATGATTTTCCATAACAGTGCAAATGTGTGCTGCGATAGGGTGAAAATGGTGTGACATGGCGAATGTCTCGTGTGACGGCGAATGAATGTGACAGGTCAAGAGAACTCCAATTCAATTTTGTTTCCCTCGTGCATCTACGTGCCTAGAAACTCTGTTTCGATTGGTCAGACATGGTTTTTATAATTCTGATCCATCAGACACGCCCAAAGTCCGGGCCGGTCCGATGCATCAGGGAGGCCCACCTCCATGTCTACTTGCAACCTACCCGCGTCACATAGTGAGCTGCCTACAGCACAATCAGGGTAAAAAATACAAAAAAAAAAAAACTACACTGACGCCTCTGGGTAGAATTTTCAAAACTTCAAGTTACATTGATCCATCAGTGTTTCCAAAAAAGACACACTGCTCAAAAGGGTTTAAAAAATGGCTACACTGCTAATTATGACTAGCCAAAATCCAAATATAGGCCCTGCTTGCAGCTGCCCGATGCTGTTTGCTTCGACGGTCCAGATGTTGTCCAACCGTACACGACTCTTCGTGTTACTTTGACCTTTCGCCTTTGTACTCTAAACTGCATGCTTCATTCTTGCTATTTGCAGGAATGCACAGTAGTTTTCTTAGTTCACTATTCGAAATAGCGTGTATATTCGGGGTCGAACTTTTGCCGAAGTTCGAACTTTCAGCGAGGTTGTACTCGGTAATATACATTTGCTGCTGGTAAATTTGGAGGCCAGCAGCGGACACGACGTTGTTGTCGGGCTTGTGGTTCGGTCCAGGAGTGCGGTAAGGAGTGGAGAGCGGCGCAGGCAAAATGTTGAAGTGTTTGCCAAGTGTTTCGGCGTACTTAGCAGCTGAGAGATGAATGGCCTCTGGCGCGTAGAAGATATTAAGGCCCAGGAACTGCTTCACGTCATGATTAGTGGTCATATCGACATGCATCGCCAAGTTCCTTTGGAACCAGTCGAGCAGTGTGTTGCTCGTCCCTGTGTAGAGAAGATCGTCGACATAAACCGTGAGTAGAATGTAATTGCCGCAAAAATGCAGGCGATACATACCTGAGTCGTGCGGCAGCAGTGAGAATCTTATCCCGAGTAGGATTTTGTGCAGGTGCTGCTGCACAGCCGCGGCACATGCTTTATATTTTTGAGTGACTTCTTTAGCTGGCAAACCCGTGAGGCGCCTTCACCGTAAGTGGGTGGCTGCTCCACGAAAATTACGACATCCTCTAACCCATAGAGAGATGCGTTCTTCACGTCGATCTGGTGGAGAGGTAAGTGTCTCGCGGTAGCGATGGCTAGTAGGATTCTGACGGAGGTGTGGCTGTCAGAACATAATGCTTGTCTAGTCTGTAGTGGGGTACTCAATAGTGAGTATAACCCTTTTGGGCTTGCTATTTGTACTCCGCTTCTTTCTAGTTCAATCATCTTTCCTCTTCTACTGCTTGCACTTCTCTTTCGTGTACCCTAAACCTAGCTATGGCTTCTTAGTCTTAGCTACTATTTTGTCATGGAATCAGAGCGGTTACGCTCTTGGCCTGTGGGCCCCACGTGCTTCCGCTGCTTTCCTGTCTGTCGCGCGCCCCGTGGCGCGCGACGTCTTATTTTTCTTCCCGCCGCGCGTTCGGGTCGCGCGGCGGTTCGCTGCTCCGTCGAAGCGCCCCCCCCACCGCCCCGTCGCCTACAGCAGACCCACCCGTCACCCCCGCTGCCCCGTCGCGGCGCCCTGGGGAGCCGCGCGCGGCCCCGCAGCCACGTCGCGGCGCCCTGGGGAGCCACGCGCGACCCCGCAGCCATGTCGCGGCGCCCTGGGGAGCCGCGCGCGACCCCGCAGCCGCGTCGCGGCGCCCTGGGGAGCCGCGCGCGACCCCCCGCTGCCCCGTCGCGGCGCCCTGGGGAGCCGCGCGCGCGACCCCCGCTGCCCCGTCGAGGCGCCCTGGGAGCCGCGCTCGCCCCCCCTCCCGCTGCCCCGTCGTGGCGCCCTGGGGAGCCGCCCGCCGTCCCCCGAATCGCTCGCGGATCGCCCCCCCCCTCCCCCCCGCTGCTGCCTCTGTTAGGGTTTGGGGGTGGCGCATGTGGGGGTGGCGCGTATGGGGGTGCTGGTTGTGTGCTCCGTCCCCTGCTCCTCCTCCTCCTTCGTCTCCCACTGCTGCAGCTGCCGCTGAGGGGGGTGGATGTGTGGGAGCCGAGGGTTTAGGGTTTAAGTGGGGGTGGCGTGTGAGTGGGGCTAGGGATGCAGCAAAGGGGTGTGTGATAGGGGGGGTGTGGGACTGACAGGGGGGGGTGAGCGGAGGTCGCAGTCGTGTCGTCTGCAGTGCCTGTAGTCCGGAGCCCTCGTGCTCTCGGTAGCCCAGCGAGCCTGCTGTGCCAGTCGCCTGTGGGTCTGTTGCTCCTGCCGCTCCTCGTAGCCGCGGAGCCTGATAACCCCCGTAGTCCAGTGCCCTCGTGCGCTCGGTAGCCACTGTGCGCGCCGCTCCTGTTGCCCGTTGTGTCTGCAGCTTCGCCCGTCGCCTGCAGCAGATCGCCCCCCACAGTTTCTCCTCCTCCTCGCTTGCCCTCTGTGTTAGTCTCTAGCCTTTGCTTA